AGAGAGAGAGAGAGAGAGAGAGAGAGAGAGAGAGAGAGAGAGAGAGAGAGAGAGAGAGAGAGAGCTTGGTGACATTCCGCCCGTTGCCCTGTTCTGGTATTCGGGCAAAGACCTGCCTTTGGACAATGTGCTGAGATTGGGACTTCAGGACACTTCCGGATCGATGACATTGGCGACTTGGCCTTCTCACCCCTCTTCCCCTTCGTCTCCATCTCCCTCCTACTTCGTCTGTGTGTAGTATGGGGGCAGCGCCCCTTCTGTGTATAATGCGCTGCCGCCCATCTCACTGAGTGGTGAATGAATGAATGAGCATTGTCCGTTCCAATCTTGCTGCATCAGAGTGTATGTTCCAGTCTTCCACTGCGTTCTATTGTCCGTTGCTGTGGTCGGTTCCTTGGATCTGCGCTACCCTTTGCTATGTGTAAATGTGTAAGCGACAGTAAGCCAGATTATTCTCCAGAGGCTCTAGAGCTTGCTAGTGCACATCTACATACTATTCCTGATTGACCAGCCCGATCAAACAAGAATCTGCCACTCGGCGATTGTAAGAGGTAGTTCCCACCGTGTGCACCCTACGGCCATTATCCCACAGGGTCCATGAAGTATCTGCAGACGGCCTGTTATGCACATCTGAGACTGAAGAGTGACGAGTCGTAGAGTGAGGTGCACATTGGGAAAGATTGTTTCGCTGTGCGACTCCAAGGATTGGACAAACAACTGGTAGGGATTTCCGTGCTTCTCGTGCGAAGTGGAGATATTACAGTGTGTTATCGACTGGTACCATGGCAAATTGTGTTGTAGCTGCCCAAGAGATGTGTTGGCAGGTTGTGAGGCAGACATGAGCTCTTAGATTACCAAAAACACACTCTTGCAAATGTGTTACGTGTGTTTCCTTTCGGTTTTATCATCCAACATGGCAAACAAATGAATCTACTTTTTTTGCAGTATTGCTTCCATGATATTAGGAGCATTAGCCGCAATGGCTCAAAACAGAGTCGAAAAAAAAAAACCTTATAGTTCTATTGGCCATGTAGGTTACCTTTTAATCGGTTTTTCATGTGGAACTATCAACTGAGTATGTTCCCGGTCCACAAAACTAAAAAGGCATTGGCATCTTGAAATAATTGCTGTCCGCCATCTGCACAACTGGGAGAGACTATCTGCAACTATTGACCCATTATTGGGTGTTGATCTCACGGTTGCTATGAACTTGGCAGTATATACTAGTTCAGACCGAGTCTCAATGCTTTCATCATATCTGTGACGTTGGCATTAAAGCGATATTTGCAGGCGTCAAAACAGAAAGCCCAAGCGGGCTAGGTCACTTGGTTGAGCAAGTAAGTGGCACTCAGGAGGTTGGGGGGTTGAAACCCAACGTTGTCCTTTCCATCCCTTTGGCCTCCTGGGGTATGCTTCAGATTCACTGGCGGAGATTGTTGGCTTGGGCCTCCCAGCTCGTTGTGGAAGTAGCCAATTCTTTCCAGTCCGCGGCGGGCGTTAGGAGCTTGGGTACTGCTCCACACACAGATCAGAGATAGGTTGAGGCAGACCTTAGCCTCTCCGATAATAGCAGGAGGTTCTTAGCTGGTAGACTTAGGGGGGTAGCATAGTTCACCTGTTGCTTCTTCAGGGATAGTTGTGGCCCATTAGGTAGGTAGCTAGGGTGAGATAGACACAAGAGTGAGAGAAGAAACTAGGGTAGCAAAAAATACAGCTTGTCCCCCATTTATGAGGAGAAGACAGTTGTATTTTTCTATTAAAAACACATGTGGAGCCACTGCGGCGACGGGGAAGGGCGGCGGGGGGGGGATAGAGGGCAAGGAGACAGAGGTGGAGGAGGGGGAGAGGAGTGTGTGTGTGTGAGACACAGAGAGAGACAGAGTCCCCATCCACTCCTCCCTCGCCCCACCCCTCTCCTCGTACCCGCCTCCTGTGCGTTCGTTAACTCCCCCTCCCCATTTCCCGCGGTTCCTTCTCCTGCTCCTCCTCCTGCTGCTGCTCCTCCTCGGCTCGCTCCTCCTCCTGCTCCTCCTCTTCATCCTCCTCCCCCCGCTCCTCCCTCACCTCCTGCTACTCCTCATCCGCTCTTCCTCCTCCTCCCGGGCCTCCTCCCAGGCCTCCTGCTCCTCCTCCCACTCCTCCGCCACCTCTCCGCCGCCTTTTCCTTTTTACTTCCCTAATCAATCAATCGAATTGATTGGTTGATTGATTGACTGATTGATTGACTGATTGACTGATTGACTGATTGATTGATTGATTGATTGATTGATTGATTGAAAAGCAAAAACAAGGGAAGAACGGGGCAATCTTTTTTCTTTTTTTTTCGATCGATCAATTGATCAATCAATCAATCAGTCAATCAGTCAATCAATCAATCAATCCTCCACCCGTCCGATTTTTGCAAACAGAAAACAAAAAATCAGTCAATCAATCAATCGATTTATCAATCAAATTTATTGATTGATTAATTGATTGATCAACTCGGTGCGTGTGTGTGAGAGAGAGAGAGAGAGAGAGAGAAAGAGAGCGTCATTTAGGTAAATACATATTAGAGTAGTAAAAACATAAGCTTGTAATACAGCAACACCTAACTCTAACCCAGTTAATGTGAGAGTGGGCCCCCGACCCTTCCCTCGTTCCGCTTTCCCTACCCGCCTCTCGCATGTTCGTTAACCCCCTCCCCGTTTCCCATCCCGCTCGTCCTCCCGCTCCTTCTCCCGCTCCTCTTCTCCCGCTCCTCTTCCGCCCCTTCCCATTTCCCCTCGTGCTCCTTCTCCCGCTCCTAACCCCCTCCCCATTTCCCCTCCAGACTCCACGCTCCTCCTCCCGCTCCTTCTCCCGCTCCTCCTCTGCCCCTTCCCATTTCCCCTCGCGCTCCTTCTCCCACCCCTAACCCCCTCCCTGTTTCCTCTGCCGCTGCTCCTCCCACTCCTCCTCCCGCTCTTCCTCTCGCGCCTCCTCCGCCCCTCCCCGTTTCCCCTCCGCCTCTTTCTCCCGCTCATCCTCCCGCTCCTCATCCCGCTCCTCCTCCTCCTCCCACTACTCCTCCCACTCCTCCTCCCACTGCTGCTCCCCCCGCGACTCCTCCGCCCCTCCCGGTTTCCCCTCCCGCTCCTCCTCGTGTTCGTTAACCCCTCCCCGCTTCCCCTCCCACACCTCCTCCTGCTCCTCCTCCGCCCCTTCCCGTTTCCCCTCCCGCTCCTCGTGTTCGTTAACCCCCTCCCCGTTTCCCCTCCCGCACCTCCTCCCGCTCCTCCTCCCGCGCCTCCTCCGCCCCTTCCTGTTTCCCCTCGCGCTCCTTCTCCCGCTCCTAAACCCCTCCCCATTTCCCCTGCCGCTCCTCCTCCCGCTACTCCTCCCGCACCTCCTCCCGCTCCTCCTCCCGCACCTCCTCCCGCTCCTCCCGCTACTCCCACTGCTCCCACTGCTCCCACTGCTCCCACTCCTCCACCAAACAACGTGACAAAGATCCCGCCATAGCCATCTCCCGCCCCCCCTCCTGCTGCTCCTCCCGCTCCTCCTCCTCCCGTTGCTTCTATTGCTCTTCCTCCCATCCCTCCTCCCACTCCTCCCGCTCCTCCTCCGGCTTCAAAAAATCATCCGAATTACTAACGACCGAAGACAAAAAAGAAAACACAAAAGGAAATACTTCGAGAAAAGTATTTTCACTACACAATGGAAAAACGAAGGGCGAGCAAAACGAAATGGGGCATGGTTCCAGTAGCCCCGGGATAAAAAGACTTGGACAGCCAGGACAAGTGAGGGACAGTGCATAAAATGAAAAATAATGAAAGAAAATACTTGAAAGGATTTCATGTTCTGTCACGTACCTATCAATTAGAGGAGCGCACTTTGCAAAACAAAAGGCAAAAACACGAGACGCATATCTATCAAGTTTTAACTACAGGACCGCACTCTCCAACACAAACAAAGAAAGTAGAAGACAGCGCGAAACACTCTGAAACCGTTCTTTAATCCACCAGTACATGGCCCCAACCAGCTCGAGAATCATGATTGAGCCTCTCGGGAAAAAAACAAGGGCTCAGGGCAGTCAGACCAAAATCGCTGTCAGCACCAGCCAAAAGGCCCAAAACTAAAACGAAAACGCTGTGCTGGCGTTTCGGCAAAATAGCTGGCAGCACAGATGTACTGGCGCTTTAAACTACCAGTGCAGCCGAGTACGTTCACGACACAAATCCCTGGGCCTCCTGCCCAGCCCAGCCTGAAACGTCACTCATACCACGTAACACCGAGTACGATTGAAAAATATGCATTCAGTTTGGCGAGCGCTACCTTTACAGAGCTAGTGTCTCCTCAAAATCTAACATAATTTCCTGCACTCTTTTGCAGCTGCTTCTTTTACAATGTGCTGCATGACTCTGTGATGTGACTTTCTACCGTCTGTTTGGCAGCGTGACCACCTGCTCACAGGGAACGTCCTCGACCTGCTGTTCAGGGCGTTCAGCCGATCATATCGAGATAGGACCAGATCAAGGTGAGATACCACAACAACTACAACGACGGCTTCACCTCTGAAGGAGGACACACATGGGGTTTACTTAGTCTCTACAACGGCAAGACGTCCAATTTTTTTGCGCGAGAGGATTGCAAGGTGCGTTGCGCATAACGAGGAGGAGAGGGGAGGGGAGGGGACGGGGCGGGAATGGACACGCAAGTCGGAAGATGCTTCATACACATGCTAGGGAGAGAGGGGGTACCAATACCAATGGCAGTCACAAAATGCATTACAGGAAAGAGGGGGGTACCAATGGCAGTCACAAGCTGGGGGAATAGTCAACAGAGGTTACCAGGTGCTTTGCGCGCGTCAGAGACAGAGAAAATTAGAAGTGCAATTGGACGTTGCGAAATGCTTTTCAGTGTTACGCAATACTGAGAAGAAGTGGGGTCTCAATTAGGGTCTCACGAAGTGCTTTACACACACAGATTGTGGTAAGAAGGAATGCAGTGGCTGGTCCCCAGACACATGCCTTGGGGACGTGTAAATGGGGGTTGAAAGGTGCTGTGCAGGCCCACCCATGCATATGCACTCACGCACGAGCACACACACACACACACACACACACACACACACACACACACACACACACACATATCTGCATACAGTTGCATACAAGCCTATAATTGCGTGCCTGCAAATAGAACACCGAAAACTGCTGCAAATACAATCATGACAACCAAAACTGGGAGAGAGATACAAAGGCTCACGCAAAAAACTAGGCTCGATCCTTTTTTTGATTGCTTCTGGCAAACCTGATGCTGCATACAGCATCAGGGACCCTACTCGTTGAGCAACATGTTCGGCCCTGATGATACAACCACCACCAATCAAGGTGACACATTTCTGCTCTGCTCAGGGAAGATATCACATTGAAATGCAAACACACTCCACAAGGAAACCACAGCTCTCCTACCTCCTCATCACAGTTCATCGAACATCGGCTTCAGCTCTGCACATCGGGCACCCCCACAGCCTAACATTTTCAAGAGGGAGGGATGATTTCACTACCTGGGTCTTGTGTGTGGTGCTCTAGCCGCCAAGATTCACTCCGAAGGTACGAATTTTTTTATTTTATTTTTTTTCTTTCATCAACTTTCATGTCTACATCTTCATTACACCCTTCTGAACCAGCATTCCTTCCGCTCGATGATCACACCAGAAAGACAACTACTACCTTCTTCACCCGAATAGACCGCCCGGTCATTATCGCTGCATCTGGACCAAAAGTTGTGCCAAATACAGCTATAATGACCGGGCATTGTATTCGGGTGAAGACGGTAGGCTGTACACGTCGTGTGCAGTTTCGTGGATCAAGTCACAACACACATAGCAGATAAGCATCCATACCACATGTGTGAAGTATCTGCCAAACTATAGTGTCACATAACTATGCTTACCGCATACGATTCCCTTGTGGATACTGTCTGCCTGGACAGTGGATACTGCACCGTCTGGCTGGACAGTGGATACTGCACCATCTACCTGGACAGTGGAATTAGCACCATCTGCCTGGACAGCGGAATTACCACATGTATGTCATACCATGCTTTCGCACTATCTGCCAAACTATATTGCCACATAACTATGCACTAGTATGAACTCGAAGAGCACACTTCGCGAAACAACCGGTAAAGATAAGAAAACAAGACAAACACGAGGAGCACACTGAAACCATTCATTTTTTATTTTCTCATTCTCCAAAATATATGATGCACCAGTAAGAAGATGGAATTACCAGGGAATAAGAAAGAGCCAAAACAACCGGTAAAGATAAGAAAACAAGACCAACACGAGGGGCACACTGAAACCATTCATTTTTTATTTGCTCATTCTCCGAAATATATGATGCACCAGTAAGAAGATGGAATTACCACAAGGGAATAAGAAAGAGCTGGTTAGAGGGAAGAAAAAGGGAATGCCCAAAGAGCTGAAGTGAAAGCGACAAGGGATGGACTGACAGCAAGTGGGGATGGATTACTCCACGAAGTAATCGCACACTGTCGATATAGCACAGCGACAAGGGATGGACTGACAGCAAGTGGGGATGGATAACTCGACGAAGTACTCGCACACTTTCAATATAGCACTTGCCCACGACACACCGTTGAGGGTACACATCTACAAAACACACAAGACCCCCGAGCAGAAGAACAGCAGACAAAATATAGCCTTCCGAAAAAGCTGTCTGAAAATACCCACAACCGCGGCCCAAGAAGAGGGATTCTTTGCACAAAGTACTACCGACCGATCTGGAATATTCCAGAGGGCAATATACACAAAAACTAGGAAAATCAACCTGCTATTTACTGATCCAACATCCGCGGCCCAAGAAGGGGGGGGATTCTTTGTACAAAGTACTACCGACCGATCTGGAATATTCCACAGAGCAATATACACAAAAACTAGGAACATCAAGCTGCTATTTAGTATACACTGATCGTCTATCCTGGAAAGACGAAGCCAAAGTGCACAAGTATCGACAGTCAACCCATCCAAAAGTCATGAGGCCTGGCGAAACGACGCCTGCCCGGACAAGCATCCAGACCCACAAAGCCCTCCTGGCCAAATGGAGCATGATCACCTACCAAAGGACATTAAACACAACCAACCGCATCCGCCTTCTAATCCGCGTGGTTGAAATACCCAAATTGACGAGCTGCGTTCGTGTGTTTTGCTTAAAACCTACCCTAAATTGTTATACAGGAATCGACCGACCAAAGGTGGGGATGTACTGAACAGGGGTGCTTGAGATAGATATGGGGCACCAGATTATCTGCCAGAACAGACAGCTTCTTCCTTACTCCCAATTTGGCAATTCACTACCGCCTTCACCCGAACAGAATGCCCCGTCATTATAGCTGTATCTGGACTGAAAAGTGCACCAAAATACGGCTATACTGACCGAGCGTTCTATTCGGTTCGGGTGAAGACAGTAGTTCATGGGACTGACAAGCACAGGTTATTCCTGAGACCAGCCGGTCTCATTCGAACGATTCCTTGTTGCATGTACGACACATTGCAAGGCCCATATCTTATCATAAGAGAGATTTACTGTTACATTCCCAGAAGTCAGCAGGAAGCTAAGTAATGACTTCCCCTATGGGTCCTCTGACTTCCCCTACCGGTCCTCTGACTTCCCCTACCTGTCCTCTGACTTCCAATAGGTACACATCAAACAAACCAGTTGGATCTCGCCGGTATCACCTATAGGCTTTAACGTTGTAAGTTGTTGTTTAGTCACCTGTCCCCCAATCGATATCAGTTCTGGCGACAGAAACACCTAGAACAACATTACAATTCTTGTATGTTAGCACTGTGCTTTTGAAACAATCCCGACCTCAGATCGAGACCACCCATTTCAAAATTCAAATGGTGTTTCCACAAACGGAAACAGTGCACAGGAAATCATTATCAACTGCTAAGGGATGATTAACGTAATTGAATCGGGTATACATGCCAATTAACTGTTCGAGTGCTAGGATCCATCATCGCTTCCGGACACACATGCCCATCATCAATTGCTGTCTAACAATCCACAGCAGGCAGCACCACAGCCTGGCGAACAAGGGAGAGACTACGTATAACTCGGAAAAAGAAATAAGCACAACTACATAAGATCATGTGCGCTGGACAGTTCAGGGGTCGGTGCACAATCTGAGCGTTGAACATTAGCATCAGGGAAACCGGCAACGTTAGCATCAAACATCGGAATCCTGTTCGGTACAATAGCATCTTTATTATTCGATAAAAATTTTGAATGCACATTGCACCTATGTCGAGGAAGCATCGCAAAGTCGTGCTTCAGGTCCTCCTCACGATCCTCCTTGCAAGAGATCGCCAGAGGCTCAAAACAAGGACCGCCCTGGACTCTAAATTCCAGGGGGGGAAATCCCGAAAAGGAAAAGTCATTTTGAAGAAGAGCCTGCTCCCAAAAGATGAGCATGGCGTGCTACCAGGGCATCTTCGCCTCATCCCTATAGCAAAACAGGTCGTGATTAAAGCAGCAAGAAGCCTGGCATAAACCGAACCATCACAAAAGTCATGCTCCAGGTCCTATCAAAGATCCCCCTTGCCCAAGATCGAAGGCAGAGGAAGAACCACCCAGTACTCTGAAATCCCAGGAAAAAGAGAATCAGGAAACAAAAAAGGACAGGAAGAGTTGCTTCCGAAGAGCAACCTCCCGCTCAAAGATGCGACGTCGTGGTATCACGTCTTGTCAACTGTCCTGGTCGAAGAACGGGGCATACGGATAGCAACACGAAGCCTGACACGAATAAGGGTGGGACCTCTAGAAAAGGCAGGCAAGACTCGATCGACTGCGGTCTTTGCAGACTGCCTCTTCAGCACGCATCTAGCATGAAACTGCTGGCAACGCACAATGCCAAGTGTCAAAGACAACCCAGCAAAGCAGTTCCATTCTCAATTCCGTAAATACGATAAAATCAAATAATACAGCCTAATATTCAACACAAAAACTGATGCCGCGCGGCCCTACAAGCCACATCAGCAGCCACAGCATGTGGTCTTACTCGCGAGACCAGCGGTCACAGCACAACTGATCCGACAACGCACAAGCATTCCACATGTTATCCCAACGTTCTGGTTGTGCGGAAAAGCCAGATTTCCTCACAATCCATCAAAAAGCTAAGACGGCGATCAACGATGCCGTCCATGACCACCAGAGCAAGGCAAAGCACCAATCCAGTCCAGCGGTTCCGTTATGGAGCAGTACGGCCAACCAGTTTGTTAGAAATCAATCCAACTATGTTAGCGAGGCTCCCCACATAGGCAACCACACCACGCGCGATTGAGTCATTCCCCCGCGTTCTGCATCCCATCAGTAGATAGAAAACGGCCACGGAAATGGCAGATCAACAGATATGCCAAAGTCCACACTGGCAGTGAATGGGAAAAACCCACAATGGTTGCAAGGATCAAGGGCTATGTCGTCCTCGTGAACACGGCTATCAATCAATACGGCCGTCGATGATTGTTTTTTTTCTCCAGATAGAGAATCGTGGTCTGGGTTGATGGCCGTGTTCAACGAAGTCATCAACACATCCATCAACTGGATAAATTGAAAACTACATCCCATTGATCGCAGTTAGCAGTGCACGTCAGCAGTGCATGTTAGCACTGTGCATGTTATATTCCATCAGGACCGCGTCCCCAATCCGCGTCCCAACACGTGGCTCCCAGCATCCCCTCCATCAGCCAACCTGAGCAGTTGACAGCTGCTGGTCTCTATTTGCTGCTGCTGTTGCTGCTCATCCCTGCAGTGCACCTCAGAAACATGGGAAATGCAGCAGTCTAAGTCAACGTATGCTGGACCAAAGCACTGCAGAGCATTTCCCTGCTGCTGCTGCTGAGCATGCCCATACGGGCGAGCAGGCATTAACAGGTGCACTCCGTTCGCTGCAAAAGAGGAGACGGTAAATGTACAACGTTTCCTAGGCAGCAAAAGGCAATGTTTCCTACGTTGGACGGTAGGCCAGCACCCCGATCGTGACTCAGGTCTTCCAACCTCTCACCCTTGGAATCACGAGTTAAGTCTATCCAAACAGATTCCACGGCTGTCAGCGCATTCGCAAGAATCATCTGGGCATTGCTAACAAGGTGCAAGGCGGTCATGGCCGTAACTCGATCCCTTCTCTCAGAACCCTGGGACGAGGTAGACGCCTAGTCATCCGCAGCTGGCGTACTTCAGCACAGGGTCGAAGACGGTTTCTGGGGTGAGGCAGCCCTGGAAGACCTGGAGACAGGAAACGACAACAAGCACAACAGGGAGAGGTAGTCAGTGAAGGGAAATGATGACCATCTGGGACATCTGTTCAAAGAGCAATCAAGGTAAAAATGGACAAGTGAAAGCATGAGGAGATGAAGATGCAGGGAGGGAGGCAGGGAGGAAGGGGGGGCCGGTGTGGGGGTGTGGGGGGGGGGGGGTTGGGGGTTGTGCAAGAGGAGAGGAGGAGACAAACTGTGTGGGAGTGCACCCTCAGTGACCTGTGATGCCGTCGTAACGACTCCACATATTGGTGCTTTAGGATAGCTAACAGGAAAAGGTGGAAAAGCCAGGGCTGCCACACATGTAGTGGCAAAGGGGACTTCAAACTGAAGGCGTACAGTACAAGATCAGTTTGCAAGTGACAGAGGGTTAACAAATACCGCACCTGGCTGGTCATTTGTGTGTAGCAAATGCACTAAGAAAATGCCTGGCGGATCAGATTCCATATTTACCGATAAAAAAGCAGGTATCCGTGTGTACCAATCCGTACAACGCCTTATTTGAAAGCTAACCAAGACAAGATCAACGCAGGAAAGAGACCCGCCAGAATCAAACCCCGAACGTCGAAGGCTGCCAACTCTGGCCCTTCTTGTCAGTTGAGCTACCTTGCTCAACACAAGTGGGCCTCAACAGAAACAACATTTCACAGAAATGGCTTCCCTACTTGCGCCACCAAACCATGTTTCTCGAGATGAGGCAAAATCGGCAGACATAGGTGCTTGCAATCGGTACTGGACAGAGAGCTCAGCCAGTCCAACAGTGGCCATCACGAACACACGCTTCCTGTTGACTTTTCAGAGCGGATTAGTTCGAGGATCCATTTATCTCCGATTGTTCGCTGGAAACTGAGAAGCAACTAACTAGGGAGGCTCTGGCTTGGCACTGAAGCTTCCACCGGAAAGTGCAGAGATTGCTTACCGAGTATGTGCCCGGCATAAAAACATCGAAAGATGTGGTCTCGCCGCGAACTGAAGGAAGGAAGGTGATGCCTAACTCTGCCTTGCAGGTCTTGATCAGGAATAGCATTCCTTGCCATGCAAAAGCTAACCCCTCACAGGGATTACCCTCAGCTTTCAATAAGCTGCCAAGGATGGCATCAAGATAGTACTCGGAGAAAGACACGGAGAACAAAGGACCCTGAACTGCATGTCTCTGCATGACTGAGTGGTGAAGCATAGCTGTGGAAGAGCTGACCAGACAACCCAAGCCTCCTGATATCCTACAGTGTTTGCCCAGGGCCCACCTAGGCAGGCCCAGGCAAGATGCCATGAAATGTCCAAAAAGTAAAAGAAAAAACAAAAAATCCAGAGAAATCCAAAAACAAAAAAAAAAGAATATTTAAAAAAGATGATGCAAACAACTTGGCCAAGGGTCACTTCTACTTCTTAAATCTCTGATATTGAAAAAAAAAAAAAAAAAAAAAAAAAAAAAAAAACTGAACATACACAACCCACTGAACCTCTAATCACCGAATTGAAAGGTTGCCCGGACGTCCTAGTAAACCTACATCCAATTTATTTATTTATTTATTTTCTTACAGTTCGTATTTAAAATCCGAAGTTGCATTTTCGCTACTCACATTTAAAATCACAAAGCGAGTCTTTCAAGACACTGACACTGGTATTGCGTTCGTGTGATTCCCGACACTTTCGAATCAGCAACCCCTTATAAACTCTCAGGAGACTACTTACACACATGTTTCTGCCTCTCAGATTTTGCTTGAATCCACAGACTTATTCAGAACACCCTAACACAGCATGCAAATCAATAAGGAAGGCTCATGGAATTACTAATTAGGCAGTTTCAGGACTGCCATCCCCAACCTGTCAGGGCTCCTGGCATGCTGGATGACAATAGCCCAATGTTGGCCTGCAGTGTGATCCAAGAGGGCCTTACTAGACCAAGCCAGGTCCTTGGCAGCCCTTCAAAGGGAGGAGAGGGGAAGAGGCAGCTGTTGTCAGAGCCCTGTCAGCCGATTAAGAGCCTGCAGCACCTTCCCAGCACAGATGAAGAAGAATACGAGGCAGCTGCTGTCAGAGCCCTGTCAGCCCATTCTTCTTCTTCTTCTTCTTCCTCTCCAGCACAGAAGAAGAAGAAGAAGAAAAAGAAGAAGAAGAAGAAGAAGCTGACTCCGTGCTCTCACATAATCAGTGAAGCTCTGACAGGCAACATCTTGTACACTTCAATGCAAAATTCCCTCTCCCCACGTTTGCACATTGCTGATCACGAAGGAGCAGCACCCCAATGCCAGCATCTCAAGCTTTAAGAGTGTAAGGCTGATGCAGCTGATGCTGGACTTGGCAGCCCCCTTATGAAGTCACAATATGCAATGGTGAAACGGTTTTCACCTTCTAGCAGTAGCGGATGCAGTACCCAGGGTTCGATCCCTAGACCTCACCCTACCTATGTACAGTATCTGTATAGATCCCGAGAATTGAACCTGTGACCTGTGTATTCGTAGACAGTTGGTAGGACTGCCGTAGGTCCATAGGCAGCAGGGGTTCGATCTGTAGGTCTATAGCGTAGAAGTCTTAGTGAGTTCCGGAAGCTTAGCTGTAGACCTTCTAGAAGGTAGGCAAGTGGTCAAGTGGCGAGGCAAGTGGTGGACTAAACTGCAGTGCAACAGCAGTACAACGTCGGTAGGATAGCAGTGAGTCCACAGTCAGTCAGCGGAAGGTCCAGTCAGTCCCAGTCCGGTCCAGAAAGTACCACGGGGGGACTGTGAGCACCATGGGCCGATGGCAAAGGGCAGAACAACGAGTTTCTGAAGTATAAATCAAGAGGCAGCGCCGAGCCTTTCATTCATTCCTGCGTGAGCCATGCGGAAGCGCTGCCACATCGACTTGTGCAAGGAGGTCTGCAGATGAGCCCGGAGGACGCAGTGGGCGAGAGAGGAGTTAGTATAGCGATAGGTTAGAGGCAGCCATCGCTGCCATAGCTGTAGCAAGTAGGAAGTGTGTGTGTGTGTTCGAGTGTTCAGAGTGACGTGTATGGGATATCCAGGGTGATCCGGCGTGTGTAAACAGTGAGTTGTTGGGCGCTGACGTCGCCATAGCCAGTCAAGCGTGAACTCATATCTGGAAGCCATATCTCTGAATTTTGTGTGGGCGCCTGTAGCCAGTTGCTGCGTTGCTCCTTACATGTATGAAAAGTGTGTTTGAGAACGAGTCTGATTGCAATGGTCCTGTTCTCCACTTTTTTCCTCATTATCTAAAATCAGTTTCCTATTCTGAAATGCTACTGAGTGTAGTGTTAGCGTATCCTACGTAATCATGTACATGTTCTTGGTTGCTCCAATTTCCAGGAACTAATGATTCTTTTCTAGACGACCATGCTGTCAATCTATTAGCCATTGCGATACCCTATTCGTTCTATCTTGTTATGATCACTATAGGAAGCGTCCGTGAAGCCAAGGGGCCAGAAGCAATCTCCTTTCTCTTCAAAGCTCCAAGTAGCTGCCACTGATTTATGTGTCGACTTCTTTATGGTGACAAACACCCTCCAGATCTATGCTATTGGCAAATCACTTCCAATTTTCCGTCATATTTTCAAATGATTTACCAGTTCTTTTGTTACACTTACACATGAAACAATGTGCCATTGGACAGGTTGCTCGATGACGATAGTCTACTATGTCCATTACTTGGTTCTACTATATTTAGAATCCTGGTGTGACAAGCACAATGCCCCCCACAGCTATTGCAACTGAACAATAATAATCAAAGGTCTTTCTGCGCGCTGGACTTCATAATATAATATAATTGTTACGATCCTGGTCATTTCCGAAGTGCAAATTCACAAGGAAAGACGATGCCACCCAATTGCAAAAGAAATGAAAGCACTGGCAAAGAGACAGAGACCAAAGAAGAAGAAGAAGAAGAAGAAGAAGAAGATGTACACCAGCAAGACCAATGACAAATCAAATGAGTGGATGAACCAGAATCAATATCCGAAGTTCATTCTTACTACTTGCACAACAATAGGTCCACCATAGCCATGTCTTCCACCTTCCTCCTCTCACATGCTGAGGCTATGGCGGCCTACTAAGGGCTCTGCACTCTTGTGCAAAGGACAAAACAAAGCAGGTATGTCACTGCTCATCAGGCCGCCATGCCTGACTCTGCCTCAAGCTTCCTTGGTGCGGCACTACCCCAACTGGGACCTTCCAGATGCAGCGCCTATCAAGGTGATGAAGATGGTGTCCACCATATTGTTATGAACTTGGTTGTCTGACTATTTATACCGCCACTCACACACAGACAGTCTCATACATGCCCATACATGCATAAGAGAAGGGGGAGAGGAGACACAGTCCACACAGCACACAAATCGGAGTAGGCAGCGGAATACAGCTATGCACAGATGGGGAGAGGACACACACTGTTTCTCACTCCCTGACAAACTCCCAACAACCAATCACAAGAGGAACCTGTGAGGATAACAATTGAAATGACACGGATGTTGAGCCAACTCAAACAATTATCGTAACAGAGTTTGTTCCAGTATCTCGCCACTCTCAGAACTCACACCCCACTCTCTATCCTACATCCAGTTAGTAGCGCCACACCAGAATAGCCTCCCAAAGGCCAGCGCCAACCACCCTGATGAAGAACAGGTCCTGCGATGAAGTCTTCAGTGTCGATGGACAACTCTGACGAAGGAACAGGCAGCTATGGCTGCCACCACCCACAAGGACACAGTGTAGAGCCTCGATGTAGCCCGGCCAGATGCAGATATCCTCAGAGGTAGATGCGCTGAGGATGCCCCAGCTACGGCAGGCTCAAAATGGGCCGGCTATGGTTGCTGTCAACGGCGAGGTCTCAGGATGCCGCGTGCAGACAGTCACTGCCACCAACTTGCTTGGCTTCTCCAACGCTGCTTCGCGAGAAAATGAACTGCCAAAAGTCCTGATCCGATCTATAGACTACAGCTACCCTAGACTAAACCTAGACCGGATCTCGACCTCT